ACCGAAAACTCCGGAGTCGCTGTCCTCTTCCGCTCCTGCTCGTTCGTCGGAGACGCCGCCACCTCGCGCTCCTTCTCGGGCGGCGAGGCGGTACGATGGGGACCAAGGCGCACCTGGGATTGCGTGGGGGGGGGGACGATAACACGGCGACGGGGGTGGGGGGCTGCTCGCGGGTCCTGGTGGCGGGGCTCCAGCTCCTTCAGCCGCGATCGGAGCGCCCCCTGCTTCGCCCTAGCCGCTTGGAGATACGCCTCACGCTCCGCCAGAACAGCCGCACGCTCCTCCTCCTGCTTCCTCGCCGCAGCAGCCAGAGCAGCCTCACGTTCCTCCTCCTGCTTCTTCGCCGCAGCAGCCCGAACAGCCTCACGCTCCTCCTCCTGCTTCTTCGCCGCAGTGGCCAGAGCAGCCTCCCGTTCCGCCAAGCGCTCCGCGTCCTCGCGCTTCGCCTGCTCTCGCGCCTCCGCCTCTGCTATCCCGGCAAGACCGTCGCACCACATCTCGTTCAACCTTTGGTACGCCATAAACTCGTCTTGGGGGAGGATTAATCTGTCTTCCGGCGGGAGCGAGAAAGGAGGAAAGAAAGGGGGGGAATCGGACGACAGACAGGCCGCTTCTACGACATCCTCCAGAGAGACACGTCCGGTGTTGTAGGCCCGCTCCAGTTCCGCCGGATCTGCTGTGGCGATGTTGTCCAGCAAATCATCGACGGTGAACACCATGGACATGGGGGGGCTCTCGTCTTCTGCACCCGCCGCTGGAAACTGCTCTGCGGTGGGAGCCTCGCCCTCGGGTTCGTAGTCGAGGATTTCCACATTGTCGCCCAGGAGTTCCACGTTGCCGCTGGACATGGTGTCCTCTTTGTTAACAAGAACAGGGCCAGAGAGAGGGTAGCTACGATCGATTTTGGAAAGGGCAGCAGGGCCAGAAACAGTAGATGTAGGATAACCAACCGCAGTTGAGGCAGCAGCACCAAGAGCAGCAGAAGCAGCAAAGCCGGGTGCAACTTCGGGAAGAGCAAGCCGAGGTCGATGCGAAGGCGGAGATATCCACAAGATAGCATACGCCCAGTGAAAAAAGCTTGGTGCACACGAGGTTGAAGCGGATCCAACCAAGCAGAAAAAGCGTCCAAAAGCACACCATGCCACGCACAAACAGCAGTAGAAGCTAGCACAAAAGGGCCCGTGTTGCATGGAGACACGAGGTTTTCCGACCAAAAGACACGCAGAGCAGCACGGCGTTCCTCCGCAACTGGTGCCGAAGTGCGAGCAAAGACCGCTGTGGGTTTGCGCTGTTGAAAGGTTTCCAATTCAAATGCTTTGAGGGTGAACGATTCCCCGAAAAAAGTGCCATGTGATTTCGAAAAATGGAGGGAAGGCTGGTGGGACGGCTGACACCCAATTTGTGTGCACACATCGCGTTCCAAGTCGATGCAAGCGGAGTCAAATCGGACAGCACAACAGGAAAATCCGCGGACATCGGCCAGTACGCCGCCATGAATGCAGTAGAGGTGGTAGCAGACGTGGGAAGCATGCTGTCGTCTCGGGTCCCACTACACAAGGCCAGCATCTCAGGACGCTCCTTGCAGAGGGTATCCGCCACAGAAATCACTTCATGGACCGCCAATGCAGACAAAATAACTTTCGAGGGACGGCGAACGTACGAGAAATCACCCAAAACATCCCGATGTCCTCCGAGGCGCGTATCCTTTGCAAGGTCCCAGTCCCGCGGGCGCTTCGCAAAGCATCACAAGCCAGCATCTCTACAGGAGAGGAAGCAGAGAAGAGGCTAAGTCTAGATTCTCGTGGGTGGTGAGACCAAATGACAAGCAACCCGGTGGTTGTGAAAAAAGGCGCGGCAACAACACACAGCAGTGTGGAGGCCGCGTCCAGCACCCGCTTACCGTGTAATGCCAGCTGACGCCAAGTTTCAAGGAGTGATGCCGTGGGCGGTGGCTTGCTCCTAGAGATAGATGAAGGTTCTGTCGTTGACACGCTTGTCCACGACCACGTTGAGATGGGAAATTTGCTTGTTATTGCTGAGAGACGATCAGCAAAGGTCTGAGATGAAGTGGGGATCCGACTTCATCTCAGGGGGTACACAGAGTAGACAATTCTAAGGGGGTAGGGGTCAGAAGGGTATACCTCCTGACCGACCCGCATCCTATCAACAATAAGATGTACCCTATTCACTCTTTAAGAACATGCATATCTATCATCCCTCTGTCGGCCTCACACGCAAGCATGGCAGGAATAGGTATGTGACAAAGCCCTTTATTTAAACACACAACCACAAAGTAGGGTCGGTCTGGCTTGCTCATCATGTGAAATGAAGGTCGAGCATCTACAGGTAAGTTGCTCTGCGTGAACGGCGTATAGCAACAGTAAGTAGCACCATTGAATAAATGTTGTACTTGCATGTCTTCATGTACAGCGTGTGGTGCGCGTTGATCGTGTTTACGGTACATAGTCGGTGACGAGACCGGCCGACCGATGGCACCACAACCCGACGAGGGTGGCCGGAGAAGCGTCCGACACTGCTCACAGAGCCCACACCCAAACAAACCTAAACGCTATTAGTTTCAACCCGGGCCCAACTCTTCCACCCTTGCCATCCCCAACAATCAACTGTGATGTACTATTATAAATACCAACAATCAACTGTGATGTACTAAAATAAATACTAAATACAGTAATGGTAGGCCCGGCACAGTCCCTAAGCGAGCGTTCTTGCTTTGTACACTAGAGTAGATCCCTATCAAGCCCCACTTAAGCCACCCTGTGCGGAAAAAGCTGGTACTTCGTGAAAAGGTTGAACTAGAGTACAATCGAGGTATTAAACGAAAGCCAACATCAATATCTGAGTGTAAAAAAAAAAAAAAGAAAACAAATGAGTTTGTGTGCTGTTAGTCAGTACAATACATGGCTCCTCGAAGCTGAAAAAACGGAAAACACCACCCCCCGCCAATTAAGCCCCACTTTGCGTTAGAGCCGCATTGTGTACGTTAAACAACGTTTCAGGACATGATAGTTGGTGTCATGGTCAATCACCTTATGAATATGAGTCATAGCAAAAATATATATATGTATGCGGGGATGAAATTGGCGAATCCCTGGGTTTTGAACCAACTTTTTGGACGGAAAAACACCCCAAGTACCGCTTGCTGAGGAGCCCCGTGACCATGAATCGGGGTAGGGCCAAAAAAAATGTTCAGGATTGAGTTGGTACTGGTTGACAACGACTTCACACAATAATCGCGACATGAAACGGTAGTTTGCACGCCATTTTGATCGGTAAGAAGCGGGCATTTACCGGTGTTCGCGTCCGTCTACGGCAACCCCCAGTCCCAATATACACGACGCTGCATCTACTGTTTTTCTCTACCTCGCTTTCACCCCATGATTCACCGTTTGACACAGACCTCGACACTAAAGCAAGGAGCAAGTAAATACAAACGGGGGGGAGGAGTCCCCAACCGGGGACAGAGTGGTCACATCCCCGGGTTTTCCAGTCAGAAACTGATTCAAACCGCTAGTACGGTAAAGCGTGGCCTCGTACAATCGCAGAACTGCTCGACGCTCCAAAAAAAAACTCCAACCACTTGATTGCCGACTCCTTGCCAATTCCAAGGGCGGTTTCAACCGATTTGGAATCAAACTAGATTGAGTCCGGATCAGTACAGAAAAACCTACACGTCGACTACGCGTGCCGGCGTCAGCGTTCGCCCTGACCTGGATACGCCGGCATTCCCCACTACCCCTCCGACCACTCGACCACGACCAGCACCCCGCCCAGTGGCATTCGCCACAACCCCCTCCCCCACTNCCCTCCTTCCGGGAGACCTTGCGACTTGCGGGTGATGGCGAGCTTCTTCTGCTTCTTTTTCGCCTTGACGAAGGCTCCGAGCATGACCGTGTTGATAAGGATGCTCTTGACGCACTGGTCCTTTTGCTGCAGCTCGCGAACCGTTCGTGGGCCGAGGTTGTCGGCAAGATCCTTGTCGGAAATCGCCACTGTGATGTCCTCGACGGGCCGGCGGGCACCTGATCGTTCCTTCCTCTTCCCTACACCTTGAAGTCGACCCATCGCCCGCTACCCGTCCACCGGCCAAAGGCCTGCCCCTACAAAGGATGATATGTTCTGTTCCTCGGAAAAGCTCCGCAACCAAGCATCCCCAAGAATGCCCAACATGTCGCTCTTCGCGGGCACCCTTCCACCGTTTCGTGCCGGGAAGGCCGAGAGAACCTTGGTGATTTCCCGCTTGAATGACCCGAACGACCCGACGTCCAAGGGCTGAACAACATGAGACGAGTGGGACGGTATCTGGTAAAGGACGATGTTTAGTTCCCTGGCCAATTTGACAACTTCGTAGGTAACATGCGAGGCGTGGCCATCAAGCGCGAGCACGTGTGGCGTGCCGTTGATCAAGTCGCGGTCGAGAAGCTGCCGGTGAAAGTCGCGAACGTAGTTGACGAATGCGATCCCCTGCATGAACGAGGAATCGGTGACTGCCAGTCTCGCGTTCGGAGGGCCGTTTCTGCCTTCGACCCAGTCCGCTTGCAGACGCTGCCCTTTGTAGATGATCCACGGGGCGAGGGTGGCACCCGCCGTGCTGATGGTGACCACCACCGTCACGTTTTCTCTCGAGTTTGAACGCATCGCTCCAACCACTTTCTGTCCGCTCTCCGCAATCACCTTCATTGTCTTGGTGCGTTGTGGAGTGCTACCCGCAAAACAGAGATGTTGGACCAGGAAAGGTACGTAGCCGAGGTGGCGTTGAGCGTAGGGAAGGTGGTCGGGGTGCACCTGGTACCGTTCTCTCTAGGTCTGTGTACTATTTCTACAGAGGAGGCGGACAACAGCATTGTAAGCCAGGGGGTATCGGCAAAGGGCGAAGAGACTAGACTACGGCTACATCTGTCTGCGATAGAGAATAATCACATCAGAAAAGAGGCGCAGCCGCATACGAACACACGCACGCTTGCGCTAGAGTGCGACACACAGCCAAACCCGTCTAGGTTTCTGTTTCATCCCCAACACACACCTAATGCCGCCGTCCCTCTTGCTATAACTCGAGTGACTTCGAGCGTACGGTAACACAGTGAGCGCCGGGGAAAGGGGAGGGGGCATGTGATACTGTAGTGTATGTCAACCGTGCGTTTTAGTCTAGTCTACAGCGGTAGTGGAATAGATCTTGCAGGGGTGTGTGGGTTGCAGAGGGCGGATCCAACGATCCACACTGAAAAAAAATATCGGCACAACCTCGCCTGCTGCTAACAAGTTGCCGCGCAGCTGCACCGCGCACTACAGCACTGCTGTAGCCCTTGCCTACTGCTTAGATCCATCAGCAACACCTTTCTATATGGACCTCACCTGTCTCATCTGTGTTCCACAGGTGTCGGCAGGGATCTTTTCCTTGTCAACGAACTCGCCAAAGTCCTTGTAGAACGTCTGCAGGCGAGCCTCGTCGTCACTCATGATTCTGTTGGCCTCGTAGATGCGGGCGCTGCGTTCCGACAGCGCAGGATGCCTCTTGAAGAAACCGTCTAACCATGATCGGCCCGGGCCGACTGCTGCATCCCACGGGATACAGTATCCCGACCGCCGTTGCACCGCTGGCGCACATGTTCTGGCAGCGCGGTCCGCTCGATCTTGATGAAGTGACGAGCAGCGTACAGCAGTGCATCTTCAACAAAATTTTCCTCCTCGACTGTGAGCACAGTCCTTGGACCAACCTTTGCATCCATGCTTACATCACCGCTCAGCCGGCGAGAGAGAGAACGCTTGTTCACGCCATAGGCCTGTGCAGCAGCCCGGAGAGACATTGCGCCGCTGCGTACAGCCTCGATGGCCTCCTGCGCCTGCTCTGGGTCCACCTTAGACCTGACCATCCTTAGCAACAGGAGCGGCCAGAACGCCAACCTTACAGTATCCGCCGACGGTGGTGGTTGTGGCGCTGTATCTCGGGAGTGGCGCAGCTGATTCGTGCGTACAGATGCTCAAACGCAAGCCAACGGTGTGCTTTCCAAATTTCAAAAAAAAATGGAGTTCCATGTATTTGGCGGCAAGTTATGACGGTTACAAAAACAGTGGGGCTTAACTGGCTCTGGGGTTTAATATAGACATCTATACTTCTCCCTTCTTCCCCTCTCTCCTCGACAAGCTTTTGCTTAGACATGGGTTGTAGTGAAGGGGGGGGTCTTTCTGGCGAGCAGGGCTAGA